TCTAATGATGTTCCGTCTTCAAAGAGCTGGAAGAAAACTCAAATAATTTAAATCAATAGATCCAGTCTGAATGAAGGCTGCAAAAAGAGAATAATTATACAGCAATGACCCCATTTTGTCAGCTAGCAAAGTATGTGTATCTTAAACATTCATCTTGAAGGAGGAAGGTATGAAATTACAATTATGTGGAATTATTGAAAAATAACAGTCTGATGCGCGGAGAGATTGACAGGATCGCGTCATAACTGTAATGTGAATATTAGGAAGATTTATCATCATCAAACTATTCTTGAATTGACCTGGAAGAATGCTTGTGAATAATTGTTATACAGATAAATTAAATTGATAAACTAAATGGTTCAAACAACAACTCCAGCCTGTAAAAAAGCTGAAAATAGGGAATCTTTACAATGTGGATCCCCTGCGGTCTTCTACTCAGTAAGCAAAAGCGGCAGCCACCAGGCTAGACGAGCAGCTCAATTTAAATATTGAAACCTTATTTTGTGAAGTTCTTAAGAATACCGATTGAAACACAATGTAAACAAATAAAAGTTAAGAGTCTCATCCGAATCAAATGATTCCAAACGATACGCATTCATAGAAATTAAGTTTAAATAGACAAAAGTAGAAAAAAGGAACAATCTCACCAAATCAGTCCAACTGAATCCCTTGCAAGCAGCTATGTCACGCTTGGTGTAGTAGCTCCGATCATATACCCGCCCTACGGGGGTCAATCCTCTGGTCGAATGTAGTCGATTGCTCCATGACGCGAACACGAAGCGACCGCTCACAAAATCTTACAACGCATAAACAAACTGACAGGGTTGATGGAAACAGTTGACGAAAAAAAGTCTATCATGTCATTCTCACATTCTGTCGCGATAAAACTGCCGCTGATTGATTTCTAGTAAATGCATGTAACTTTGCATAGGAGACACAACTAGATTGAAATAACTGGAATTGTGTTGTTTTGACCTCGGTTTTGACGAGATTTCCCCTCTGACTCGAAGTAGCTTGAATCTTGGCGCTGAACTTCGTGTTTGGAAGTATTTATGTAATTTCTAGGGATAGCTATTTTTGGAACGGAGGCGACGTGAAAATGCCAAAAATCGATGTCCAACGTCATTGTGGAATCCAAAATGACGGCCATTTAGTTCAGAAAAACTGTCAAATACCCTATAACATGTATATTTTCGGAACAGGGACAACATGAAAATGCCGAAAATCAATGACCGACGCCATTTTGTAATACAATATGGCGGCTCTCAAATTCTGAAAAACTGTAAAATACCTTATAATATAGATATTTTCGGAACAAGGACAACATGAAGATGCCGAAAATCAATGTCTGACGCCATTTTATAATACAAGATGGTTGCTCTCAAATTCTCAAAAACTGTAAAGTACCCTATAATATAGATAATTTTGAAACGAAAAAGACGGGTAGATACCGAAAATCGATGTCAGACGCCATTTTGGAATCCAAGATAACAGCCATTGGTTTCAGATAAACTGTCAAATATTCAACAATATAGGTATTTTCGGAACGGGTTCGACGTGTACATCCCGTACACGTGTAATACAATATGGCGGCTCTCAAATTCTGAAAAACTGTAAAATACCTGTGTACATCCCGAAAATAGATGTCTGATGCCATTTTGGAATCCAAGATGGCGGCCATTGGTTTCAGATAAACTGTCAAATACTCTACAATATGAGTATTTTCGGAACGAGGACGACGTGTACATGCCGAAAATCGGAATGCCGAAATGCCGGATTTCAAAAATGCCGTCAGCCATCGATTGTCCGCTTATTGTAGGGTATTTGACAGTTTTATAAAAACAGAGGGCTGCCATCTTAGATTCCAAAATTGCGTCGAAAATCGATTTTGGGCCTGGACATATCGTCTCCATTCCAAAAATACACATATTGTGGGGGTATTTGACATTACATTCCAATTTATCTGTAACCGGAAGCCACCATCTTGGAATTCATTATGGCATCGGACAGCTATTGCTTATCCCTAACTATCACCCCGATTCCGAAAAAAAAACCATATTGATGAGGTCCAACAACATTAATTTATGATCTCTAGACGTCATCCCGATTCCAAAAATTCCCATATTGAAGGGTATTGGATTTCAAACTGGCATCGAATATTAAAGGGTATTTGACCGTATTTCCACTTTTCTGAAACTGAAAGCTGCCATATAGGATTTCAAGATGGCGTCGGACATCAATATATTGTCTCTAGACGTCACTTTGATTCCGAAAATATAAATATTGAAGGGTATTTGACAGTATTTCCCATCTTTTCTAAAACTGGAAGCCACCATCTTGGATTTCAAAATGGCGTCGGAAAATGACATCCGTTCTCTAAACGTCACTTTGATTCCAAAAATACCCATATTGAAGGGTATTTAGCAGTATTCTTCACTTTTTCTGAAACCGAAAAATTATATTGGATTTCAAAATAGCGTCGGACATCGATTTACAGTCTCTAGATGCCAACCCGATTCCAAAAGTATTCATATTTAAGGGTATTTTGGAGTAATTTCCACTTTTCTAAAATCGTAAACCGCCATCTTGGATTTCAAAATTACGTCGGACATTGATTTACGGGGCTTATACCCCGTTCACATTACAGCCTATATCACGTAATATAGGCTGTCTTGCAATGAGCACTCATACATAGGATTTCCAGTGAAAACTAGATATATGAGTGCTCATAGCAAGACAGCGTATATCACGTGATATACGTTGTAATGTGAACTGGGTAATAGACATCATTTCGATTCCGGAAATACCAATATTGAAGGGAATTTTAACATTATTTCAGACCTCTTGTGAAATATGATGGAAGAATTCTTGTCGTGATCCTCCTTTTTAAATGACATTTTAAATTTGATTGGTGAACGAAAGAAAAGAAACAGAACCCATACATTCGGACATGCTTTGGGGTATAAAGTTGTTTTGAGCTCAGAGCCGAGAGCTTGACCTGTAGTACTTTGTCACAGGTAACAGTATGATTGACATAGGACTAGAGTACAGAGTCGCGACTGGATGGATTCTTGATTTCGTCGTAGTGATCTTGTCGTGCGACAACAAATTGTTGTTTGACGTGAATTTTTCAGGATGACCATTTTTAATGCATCTTGTCATGCGTTGTGGTCATATCAATTCAGGTTTTCTCATTCAGCATACAATCAAAAAAAGACAAAATACCTCCTAATTCTATCCCGACTTCATCGAGAGCTCAAATCATTGTGATTTTCTGAAATTGTTTACAAAATACACCTCAGTTGGTTGATGTCATATTTTTCACAACAAAAATGCAAAAATGCGCCACATCTCTTACAGACAGATCCCTCAGACAAAAAACTCAGCCTCGAGTCACCTTTTATCTTGCCACCGTCTCGCGCAAGATGGTCGGTAAATCCGCATCATGTCAATTACCCTCGTATACCTGTCCAAGGCGAAGCTTGTTGGACGACGATAAGAGAACAGTGCACGCGAAGATCAGATAAGGCATATAAATTAAGTTTACTCAGATTGGGCGTAAAGCTATTACCCAAATATTGGTAAACTTTATTTACCAAAATATGATCCATATATGAGTTAGTTTCATCAAATTTGACTTACCCATATTTAGGTTGAAAATTCAACCATATTTTTGTTTGGATCGCTTTACGCCCAATCTGGATAAACTTAATCTACAAATGGCTTATCTGATCTTAGTGTGTAGGTATGAATTTCAGAATTACAGACGAATTACGTCAGGCACGCGACGTCCAACACAAGCATCCACCACATGCAGAAAAATATTATAGCAATAAATCTTGAGAATTCTCTGCAAATCGCAGTTTCTATCGACAATGGCAGGAAACAGAGCTATCTTATCAGGACTATTTTGAGCGATATTTAATTTCACTCCTCACAAGGACTCTTACTTGAAACCGGACTACTAAAAACACTAATCAATGATCTGATCAAATTTGTCATTTAGGCAAACGGTTATTGATTACGGCGATCACATTCCAAAAAAAAACAGTGCAAATCACCGATTAACCAGCAATGTGCAAGCTATCAATTATTATCGAACGGGTTTCTCGGACAACAAACATCAATGCACACCATTCACGGTACAAGTATAATAAATTGTTTCACACCTTTACAGAAAATAAAGCACCACCGAAGCTCTTATCGAAGTTCAGGGTGGCTATCAGACCGCAAACGCGTCATTGGTCAATAGTACCTCAGATTGCCAATCAATCGTGTTGAGCCACCACTCGATGATAGCTGGAAGACTTACTGCCGATGACGAAGTATTGTGTTAAGTGCACATCTTATTAATTTTCATCTGATTACTGCTGACTGTGTAATTAGTACAAAAGTTCTGAAATAGTTGTTGGAAAAAGTTGTCACAGTATTGGTAGTTTTTGACACATTTCAACTCAATTTTAAGGGCCTCCCTTAGCTCAGTCGGTAAAGGCGTAGCTATGAAGCAAGACCAAGCTGGCTTGATTAGATGCTCAGTGGGCATAGGGTATGATTGTGCTTTCCACCCATTTATACTAATGCAAAAATGGTACAGGCTTAGAAAGCTCTCAATTAGCAACTGTGGAAGAACACTAAGTTGAGGGCCGCTGTAAAGAAGAAGAAGAAAACATAGGTAGCACCTTTTGCTTGTCTTCAAAATTTTAAATCCCTAAAATATTACCCAGCAAATGGAGCAAACCCTATTTTCTCATCGTTATACCGATGGAACACCCATCTCTTCGAATGTGCCAAACTTGTATTTGAAGATCCATCAATAAAATTATACGCACACTTGTTCAACAACGTGCCTGCGAAAATATCGTAATCGACTGGTAGAACTTGGTAAAGGTAAACTAGGCACAACGATGAGGCTCTATCAAAGCCGGCTAATATCTACCAACTACCACTACACTACCGAAATACGAACAACAAGTGGGTAATAAAAAATCGTCTCTACTTTGGCCGGCAGCAACAGTAGATTGGCAGTCATTACTGCGACAGCGAGGTGTTTGGTGATTTTGTTTGTCGTTACTCGGCTTCCAATTGCGTCGTCGCGGAACGATCCATAGTTGTGAATGTCGGTATTGCACTACAGAGGTTGAACTATAGTCAGCGGGGGTATTCCCGCTATTCGCTTTTACGACGGGGATCCTTGCCTAGTGAATCATCAATGTGTTGATTGGTTGCAGTGTTATGTGCGTTGAATATTTCTGAGGAATTGTGAACAGTGGTGAACGTTTTATTTGTTTTAAAATACACCGTCTGTGTCTAGTCTACCAGTGAGTGCCACCATGTAAACTGCAGACAAATTGAACAAGCTGAAAGGTGAATTTGCAAATCAACAAACCCAATCCAACAGAACCGGAAAGTGAGAACAGGTATTGGACCAAATACTTGCGAATCACGTGGGGAATTGCTGGTGGATTCTATGCAAGCAAGTCAATAGTTGCTATAGTTTTTAACGCTCAAGGGAGCCAGGATGACTAGCGAGCTGTCAAAGCAGTGTTTTGCTGTATTAATAGATGATTTATGGCCTTATTCAGTACCAATAAAGTTCCGTTGGTAAGCGTCAGTGCTAGAGACATCACAACATCAATGGGACATCGGTAGCACCTGATAACATTGTCCAGCTCATCATAAAGGCAGTCTTCAACCGTGACGTTACAACAATTTCATAATCTAAAACGAATACGTATATGTGAATTTCGAACTAGAGCCACATGTGAACTCCCGTGAACCAGGAAAATTTTATCATAGAGGAAATGGCTCTAATGTTGGCCTATGGATCTAAGATTGGGCCCATCGCTAAAAATCTGCTATTTATCAATTTTATCTAAATGAACGCGTCGTTTGGACGGTACTACTGGATATGTTTGATTGCTATTGAAAAATTAATCGATTGCTTAATTTACGTATGGGCCCAAATTAGGGAGCATTTAGGCCGACATTACATCCATTTCCTTTTCTCGCAAGTAGAATCATAATAGCCTTAAATTGCAAAAAGGGAAATGAAGTGGACTTCTTGGTTCGCTGCCTCCTATTTTCTTAGAAAGGGTAAGGTGGGGTAATACCACGTAATACGCCATGGGGTAATATGACCAACAGCTTTATTTACGTGTTTTTTTTTAATTAAAGGGTTTCCACCCATAATCGGAAAGACTAATCAATATAAAATTTCCCAGATAATAGCTCAGCACACGGAAAAAAAAAAACCCTATCCGAGATTCGTGAACCTCCAGTAACGAATTTCAGAACAAGTAAATTTTTCGTTTACGAAAGTACACCGTGAATAGAAATCGTGAGCATTCTTCCACATAATAAACGTAACGCCTGCTTTATGGTGAATCGTAAGCTCTGTTCTGAAAATGAAAATAGTAAACGTGATTTATGTTCATGAGTTGTGCTTGATAACATGAACCTGTTCTCGAAAACCGGAACATGGTTCATGGACTGTAAAAAGTCAACATTCAAATAATTTTCAATATTTTAAATGGAGTGAGGAACTGGCAGGAAAACAACGGAAGACTTGATGCAGGTTTCACGCACACCCCAAACTGGTAGCAGGTATCTGCCCAGCAGATAGAATGGACGAACTTTCAGCTCAACAAATCAACACCACCTTCGACTTCCATCGGAGCGGCGGGAGCAAGCACACAGATGAGTTCGGGATCCTTTACTTTGAGGTTTACGGCTAGTTTGCTGACACGTCCTAGCCACTGGCATTGTGTTGGACCACCATTCTGATAATACGGCTCACCTGCATTCACTAATAATCAACACATGATGGATCCGAGCACTCTGCCCAGTGGCAGGCGCGTAGGCAACATGTTATACCGTGACACCGGGCCCAGAACAGCAAAATATATTATTTGAGCCCGGGACATGCTGTCTACTGTCAAACGCTGTTGGTATAGGCCTTGTGACTGGCCTGATAAAATCGTTAACAACTGAAAATGACAGCTGTAGCTTTTCTCACGATTTCATGAAAGATAATCACACTATTGGGTTCATGGATCACGCTGAACAGGCGTGAACCAACAATCAATACGAAACTAACGATTTTAAATTGGATCACTACTTGACTAGCCTATTGGTCCCAAACAATCGGTTAACGTACCCCATTCTAGCCAAAATTCTAGTACTACACAATGTTTGTTTTGATTCGCTATGAAAGTTTGCCAGATAAAATGAGGGGTTATTGGATTTTCCTATATTTCGAGGGGTGCTTGGGACCGAATATATTACCAGAGTTGAGCCAAAAAGTTGAGCACGTTTCTTCGGAACCTACTAGTCTTAGAGTTACCTCTATGAACTGTGTTCATGGATTTGGGATTTATTTTATGAAAATGTGATTTACTCGATCAAGTCTACGGGCTTTAAGTCATGAATTCAAATAAACCAGCAGTTCAGGTTATCGTGATTTATTATTCATGAATACCGGAACGTTTTTTTTTTTGCGTGTAAAATAAACAAACCTTAATTTCAAAGTTTTGAAATTAGGGGACATTTAATATCCTTAATTGAATTCAATTTTCATATTGGTTCGCACCAAAACACCATAGAGGTAACTGTAAGACTAGAAGGTCCCGAAGAAAAGTGCTCAACTTTTTGGTTCAGCTCTGGTACTCTCTTCGGTCCCAAGCTAATCGAGGCACCCCTCGAAACATAAGAAAATCTATGAACCCCTTATTTTATCTGTCAAAACTTTCATAGTGATCAAAACAAACATAGTTTAGTACTAGAATTTTGACTAGAATGGGGTACGCTTATAGATTTACTTGGGACCAATAGGATACACTGTTCGAAAAATTCATGTAAATTTCTGCGACATATAGCGCACATAAAATTAACGCTAGATTTCGCATAAATTTACTCGAAATTTTGTGTAAATTTAAGCGCAATATCGCATAGATAATAAATATTGCATGCAAGCTTGTAAATGCTTTCGCTGTTTATGCCAAGTTTAGCTCAAAATTAGGAGAGATTTGACGCGATAGTTAAAATTCATAATTTTTTTCTGTGTTGAGTTTCTGAAAATTTCTTCACAATAACGTTACCTCCTGCAACGTTCATCAAACACAGTTTATCACGCGTTGTACGGGTATTATTTTCTGGGAATATCGTGAAAGGACTTAGCTGTAATATATATATGGAAAGGCCCTGTCAATAATCTGTGAGTGGATTGCGAAGTACGAAAAAAACGGATATTTCTCCCGGAAGCAATACGCCCAAGTATATAAGAAGTTTGGATCAGAAATCCGGGAAACTTTGAGATTTGGGCGTAATTGCTTTTGTAAACAAACAAGTCAATCGCCAATTTCTCTCGAATAAACGCTCAATGTCGCAAACAAACTATACCAAATGGTATTTTGGTTTGTGTTGTTAATTTTCTAGATTGAGCTTTAATACGCGAGAAATCGGCGATTGACGTGTAGGTTTACAAATTCAATTACGCCTAAATCTCAAAGTTAACGGCGCCGGTGGTGTAGTGGTAAGCGTGATTACCTCTCACCCCAGCAGGCCTGGGTTCAATCCCAGTCGGCGCCGCCGGGATGTTCTGAGGCATAACATCTCTGATCACGCCTTCCTTCGGATGGGAAGTAAAGCCGTTGGTCCCCGGTTCATGAGTTGATGGGTCGATAGGTAGGGTCCAGGTGTGGGAGCTGCCTTCCTGGCACGTCAATAGCATTGGTGCTCAGCACGGAAAACAAGATCGACGGAAAAAACAAACCAAAGGAAAAAAAAATAAATCTCAAAGTTCTCCGGGAATGCGGCAGTGCACGGAAAAAAGTTTGCACGTAGTTTCCAGTGGGAATGCACATAATATTTTATCCATTAACAAAACCAATGATATCTATCTGAATTTCACAAAACATTCATGTGATCACATGAGTACTTTATGATAAATCACTTAAATTTCATTTGAAACATAAGGTTCATGTGATTTTGTGGTGTAACATGAAATTTCTGTGAAATTCTAATGAATATTTTTCATTGTTTATGTGATTTATTCTTTGAGTGTGGATCATCGATTTATACCGAAAAGATCCCGTGCTGTTTCTGGATAATGCCAAGCAGTAGTCATCGGAAAAAAAATTTAGGGGTTGTGTCCTAGACATGACCGCAGTATGACGTAGAACCATGCAAAATTGATGTATGACATGCATTTTTGACTATTATACTTTATCTTAAAATTTTCAAGTATTTCAAGTCGGGGGCGACCCCGGCGTAGTGGTTAAGATCCATACCTCTCACGCCAAAGTCACGAGTTCAAATCTCACCCCCGGACAAGTCACGAATGACCCAAGAGTGTTAAAGTGACTATAATAAAAAAAAAATAAAAAAATAAAAAAAAACAAGTATTTCAATGTTTCGGTTATGGTTCACTCAAAACAATTTAAACATTTTTATTGAAAAATTTCCATGTGAAATTTCACACAATTTTCATTTGACCACTCATAAACAGAATCCAATCAGAAGTACACACTTAGTTTTTTTTTGCCGAGATTGGCACCACCGAGCAGGCTTGGCATTTGTTATTACTGAGATCTCAGCAAAATTTATGTTTGTTAACCGAGATCTCGGCAAAATTCTCGTTTGTTAACTGAATCTCGGCAAATTTTTCACTGAGATCCAGCAAAATAGATTGCTGAGCTGCTTGGTGGTGCCCATCTCGACAAAAAATCTAAGTGTGTACACATGAAATTTATACGTCAAATGAATAGTGCATGTATAATTTTTCCGCGTTTCGGTTTAGTTCAATAGAGCTAATATACTGTAGAGGAAGAATAGCGCTTGTGTTCCCTTTGTTCCGATGTTGAATAATACCGGGTACAGAACTGTCAAGCTGCATAGTTTTGTCTCATTTTGACAGTTGTGTCCCTATTTGATGTAAGAAAAAGATGTTTCGACAGCGACGGCAGCTCTATTGATCCATCCCATCGCTGGTTGTGAAGGTGATCACGCCGTAATCCACCTTTATTCGTGCCCAAGTGCCACGCCGTCCGAAGCGAAAATGAGCAAAGGCAGTAGTAGCATAGAGGTAACTCTAAGACCAGAAGGTCCCGAAGAAACAAGCTTAACTTTTTGGCTCAGCTCTGGTACTATCTTCGGTCCCAAGCTGATCGATTCACCCCTCGAAACATAGGAAAATTAACTAACCCCTCATTTTATCTGTCAAATTTTCATAGCGAATCAAAACAAACATAGTGTAGTACTGGAATTTATACTAGAATGGGGTACGTTAGTCGATTTGCTTGGGACCAATAGGCTAGTCAAGTAGTGAGCCAATTTGAAATCGTTAGTTTCGTATTGATTGTTGGTAGTAGTAAAATTTACGTTTATTTCTGTTTTTCATGTTTCAACATTTGGTTTAACA